GAGAGATTTTTCATGTTCTTGTTTCAGGCTTTGTTCGTTGTTCCTTTGCTCTCCCTTGTATCAACTTAAGGTTCATGTCTGATCTTGAAGTTCAAGTCCCCACTGCCTTTGGTAAAGATTCATCCGAATTATCGCCTTTTTCGGTGTTTAGATTCCTTTAATATCTTGTTATGTTATCTGATCAAATTGATTGAAGTTAATGGTTTTATCCATCAATTTTGGTATTTTGGTGATATAAGATCTGAATCATCGCCTTTGCGGTTGAAATCGTTGAGAATATAACGTGTATTTTGTTCGTATACAATGATATCACATACTGGTTTTGGAGTATCTTGTTATGCTTTATGTTCAAATTGATGGAAGTTGATGACTTTGTCATGTTTTTTGGTGTTTTGGTGATATTTAAGATCCGTTTGCTGATGCAAATGCTGAGGACTCTGGTGCTGGAACGAAAGAATACGTGCACATACGTGTTCAGCAACGTAATGGTAGAAAAAGCTTGACGACTGTTCAGGGACTTAAGAAAGAGTATAGCTATAACAAGATACTTAAAGACCTAAAGAAAGAATTCTGCTGCAATGGCACTGTAGTCCAGGACTCTGAATTAGGACAGGTTTGTTTCGGCTTTTTCCTTTAAAGCTTTTATTACATCTATCTTGGCAAATTTTGTTCTAAACAGTCGAGCTTGCGGTTTCTAAACAAGAAGCTACGATAGTTCTGAAGACTATTTGAAAGTTAAAACCTTTTAGATATGCTTTATGACTTATTATTATCTTCGATATATTGTAGGTTATTCAGCTTCAAGGTGATCAGAGGAAGAACGTCTCTACGTTCCTTGTTCAGGTAATCACCGTGTAACCATTTTCTTTTGGTTTTGGATCCCTGTGTAACCTTGGTTTATAGCGAAAGGTCGAAGCACTGTACCCTGATTATAAGAATGTTGAATCAGGCTGGTCTTGTGAAGAAGGATAACATCAAGATCCATGGTTTTTAAGCAAATTCGCGCAACGGCGACTTGAATTTGCGGAATCAATCAGCCAGTTTCAAAGACAGTGTAAACAATCACTTATGTATTAATGCTTTTATATTGTGGCAAAAACAAAATCTTATGGTTTGATTATGAGCGAATATATAAAAATGTATGAACTTTTCCTTTACATTTGTAGTGTGAGATTATTATCAATAAAACTTGCTTTGTGAATTTAGTAAATCTTCCATAGTCTTTTGCAATAGAAAGCTTAAACCGAGTGCTAAACCGGACATTAGAGGAGGTTCATTGTCTGATGCATAAACCAAACAGGTTTTGAACCAGTTGCTTTTGTGTATACTACATAATAAACCAAATGTTGAAAAAAAAAACATAACAAATATAGGATAACTATGGTTAACAGTTTGATAAGCTTAAATAACTATGGTTAACAGTTTGATAAGCTTAACTCTTTTTTTTTGGTCAGACAATAAGCTTTAAGTAATCACTTGAATATGATTAATTTTACGTGTTTTTAATGTTTAGATAGAGATATATATTCTACATTCGTGTTAAATTCTGATATAAACAATTTTGTTTTCAAAGTTTTTATTTAGTTTAACACTATTTTGGCAACAAACCAATTTTGCCTCGTAACTTTTGGACAGAAGAAAGAATTAAACCGAACAAAAGAAAGAAAAGCATTAATAACGTCTTTTTAATTTGTTCTTTGAAAATTTAATAAATAATTAGGAAATTTGTTAATGACGTGAAAAAAAAAAGGAAAATTGCTAATTTCTTAATTAAAAATAGGAAAAATCAAAACGGAAATTGCTGCGTTTGGTTTTTGAGTTGC